CCGATTCCTCAATCCATTCCGAGCCGCTATCCACAGTACCTCCTAGGAATTACGTGTACTTTAAAATTTTGGGGTAACAAAACACCGCTTGTAACTAACGCTGAGTTAACTATCACACATGTTGTATTGTCAACCCTGGCAGAGTGCCAGTATCACAAATACTGAATATCCACTGAAGCGTACTGATTATGAGCAGGGAAAACGGAATCGGTAAATCGAGTTTGAATACTCTTGAAGAAATCATGAACCCGCTTCACTCCGAGCTTTTTTCCCAATCGTCAGTTATCTTGAATAAATGTCTTGTTTCTGTATGACGCAACGTTTGACGAAAAGAGAAGCGCGTGAGTGAGCAATTGGAAAATTAATTCTCTTCATATCTGCAACTTTACAAAGTTGTTACACCGATTGCGAACCTTGACAGCGTATGTCATATCAGTGAAACTTAAAAATGAATGGAACTCATGTTTGATTTGACGCAACTCATTTGCTAACCACACGTTATTAAATAAAGGGCAAATCTAAACGTTGCTTCAGTAATGTAGTGACATCTACATCGGCACCAGAAATCGGCAGAGTTGCTTTTGTTAAAAACATACGCAACAGATCTCCCCGATGAATTCTGTCGGTTGATGAACGCGCATGCGTCGAGTTGTATTGTCTTTACACAGTTGGAAAGAATGCAACCCGAAAGTAATTATTCGGTGCTTCTGTTTCCCTCTCACACATACGTCTTTTTTGCTTCAGTAGATGAAAAATATCCATTTGTTGATTAATGAGGCAGAAGCAGTGAGTTCCTTCAGGACGTTTTTTTTTCATTATGTACGAACTTCTGATGATTTACGACCAGAAAATAGTGTTTTATAGCCGACAAAAATGGTTTGGTTATGAAGATTAGGAATCTTTTCGATATTAGAGTGAGATAAAATTGATTAATAATTGAGTTCTTTTTGGAGGAAAAAAATCCTCTGGAGATCACTGTCAAATTGGAAACTAAATAACAAAGATTCTTCAAGATTTATTTTCCTTTTCTTTTGCCATTCTTAGATTTACCATGCGGAACACTGACATTATTTTCAATTCCCCAGAAATATTTTTTCCTGCAGCCACTGAGTACAACATAATCCTTACTAACATTTCTTTAGAATAGAATTCGTTGATTGGCATTTCGGGAATACTATCGGAAGCAAACGTCTTTTTTTTATAGCAGTAGAAATTTGATATAAGGAAAGCAAGACATAAAGACTAACTATTAACTGTAAGAAAACGAAAATGCATGGTTATCAGTAAAAAGACTGTTCAAGGATTTTGCTATATGTTGGGGATGTCAAAATCAAGCAGGTACAGAATATGGATAATATAGACGAAACATGTGACGCAGAAATCCGAAAACGTATGGAAATTAGTGATGGAATCTAACAACAATCTACCCTCATAGAACTAAATAAAGGGTTCGGTTCGAAATTCCAGCATATATCACCTGAAGAAGGCCGGAGCGTACAACGACCGAAAAGTTGTGAATATGACAATAAAGATGAGGACAACAGTCCGAACGATGTAAATAGTTACAATAATTCATCTCAGAAATAGAGACAGATGTTGAAGGTGAATATGGCAATAAAAATGAGGACAACAGTCCGAACGATGTAAATAGTTACAATATCTCATCTCAGAAATAGAGGCAGTTGTTGAAGGTGAATATGGCAATAAAGATGAAGATAACAGTCCAAACGATGTAAATAGTGTAAATATTAGAAATCAGATAAGCACCATAAACGCTGCTGTAGACGTACTTATACGTCTATATGAAACTTATATTGCTTGCTGTGGACGTATATATACGTTTTCAAGATATTTTAATGCTCGTTTATTGCTATTCCCAAACCAGAATTGATATTTAGTAACACGCAATACGCTCTGTTTTCTCGCTTGTTTTAATTATATTGTGTGACAGGGTTGTTGTTTCGCTTCGTCTGTATTGTAGCCTGAGCGCTCGAAACCAAAACAGCGTCGCCATTGAGAAATCACCTTTAGCGTTTTTAATATCATTTGTTTTCCAGTAACTACCAATTTTTTTATTTTCTCCCAAAACGGGCCAGCACAGCCAGGCAACAATACTATAAAATGCTATAAAAATGCAACAGTGAAAAGTGTTAACCTATCGGAATTAACGATTCGAGGTCCCTATGCAATAGAATTTATTATTAGTCCGGCAAATGAATTAGGCAAAGGAGATTGCTGACCATCGTCGCACGATATAGTAGGCGCTCTTCTTGGTTATTTTTTTTTTAATCATATGGCGCTGGAATAGTTCTCGGTGACGTCATATCGGCGAAATAGCTCTTCTTTCGTTACAAGACATCATCGTCATCATCAATCACTGATTGTCTTGAACCGACTCAATAAGAAAACTGAGAAAGAAATTTCTCATGATATATCTCACCATCCGTTCCCAAGTGATTAACACGTTCATTCTCCTTTGTTTTATACTAGATTAACACTTTTGCTGAAAGTAGTTCCGACAAAAAAAAAAAGAAAGTAAAAGGTTATCTCAAGGGCTCACCGATGTGTAATGTAATCGTCTACGCGCGTTTTTTCTGCCATGTCTCTTTGTGCGCTTACCCGGACTTTAGCGTATGGAGTCTAATCTTTTGATTCCTTAACGTCGAATCGTCTGTTAAATGTTTCTTAAGATGTATAACCAAATTATGATAAGCATTAGATGAGGTGATAATAGATATTTTTTTTACTGTGGACAATTATTTCTCGCCTTAACAACTCGAGGGAGAAAGAAGAATCCTGAATCTTTACAACTTGCAGCTCTATATTCTTTGAAGGTAAATAATTTAATTAGGTTTCGAGATGAAATAGCGGCAATCAATTTTTCACTCTATTCCTTTTGCAATAATTTCCTTAGAAAAGACATTATTTCACTATTTCTCGAGCTCTCTCTCTCGTTGCCTGAAAACATGCTACAGTGGGCTCGTGCAATAGAGCCAAGCGGGCATTTGTAGCTTTTGAGCACCTGGCATAATTTTCAGCTAATTATGGAATTGTATTAATGATACTCTAATATCATTATTATATTTATTATATGGTTATATCATAGATAGATTATCTATCTATGATATAACCATATATAATTTAGTATAATTATATATATCAAAAAGCAGTATTTAGAAAAATATGTCAGACTGGGCTTTGCCGACGAAAAAAAATATTCTCTCAAAAATATTCTTTAAAAAATTTTGAAACTACCAGCATCTCTCGTTTTGTGCGCATGTGTAGACGGGGCAACGTCAACAAAGCCCAGTCCGATTAAATCCTAACGAATGAAACGCGTCACAAAAAAACTTTCCAATTTCTTTCTTTCTTTCTTTCTTTCTTTCTTTCTTTCTTTGCATTAATTATTTCTTTCTTATTTCTTTTTTGCATTAATTCTTTCTTTCTTTCTTTCTTTCTTTCTTTCTTTCTTTGCATTAATTCTTTCTTTCTTATTTCTTTTTTGCATTAATTCTTTCTTTCTTTCTTTCTTTCTTTCTTTGCATTAATTCTTTCTTTCTTATTTCTTTTTTGCATTAATTCTTTCTTTCTTTCTTTCTTTCTTTGCATTAATTCTTTCTTTCTTATTTCTTTTTTGCATTAATTCTTTCTTTCTTTCTTTCTTTCTTTGCATTAATTCTTTCTTTCTTATTTCTTTTTTGCATTAATTCTTTCTTTCTTTCTTTCTTTCTTTCTTTCTTTCTTTCTTTGCATTAATTCTTTTTTTTTCTTATTTCTTTTTTGCATTAATTCTTTTCTTTTTTCTTTCTTTCTTTCTTTTTTTTTTCTTTCTTTGCATTAATTCTTTCTTTCTTATTTCTTTTTTGCATTAATTCTTTCTTTCTTTCTTTATTTCTTTCTTTCTTTCTTTCTTATAAGTTCTGTGAAAATAGTTTCGTCTATCGCACTTCTCGCCTGTAGAACTCTCTCTTCCGACTTCTTGCATCCCAGTCAACTTTGATCTTCAAAAATTTAAATTCAATGTCAAACGTTATCGTCTGTCTTCTTAATTCTTGTTTTTTTTATTTTTTATTTATTCTCTCTTCTTAATAGTATTTTCATCATATTCTCTAACACTCAGTAAACCATTGCGTCTAAGTGGCTTTATTGCCTTGCTGGAGGTGAAATGTTTAAAAATAGTAGAAGATTAAAAAAACAAAACAAAAAACTTTCATATTTCTAATTTAAAAAAAAAATAGAGGATTAGGTCTAAAAACTTTCCAGTGAAGATCCCAAATTCCTGAAAATATAATGTATTCGGAGGACGAATATTTTCTGTGAAAATTTCTCGGACATTCAGGTCGGTAAATGTTGTTTAATACTGTTTATTATAAACAGAGCATTTACTCATATATTTGTATCTATAAAAAGAATGTATAGACATAAAAATGTCTTAAAATAATGTATTATATATTTAATCAATTTAATCGTCTTTTGGGGGATTTTCAGTGACAAAAATGGATTCAGCACTTCCCAAAGCATAGAAATAGAGGCCTAGATTATGGTTTTCTGATAAATAAAAGAAGTGTTGTTGAAATTAATAGTTGGTGCCCGGCATATACTACCAAAAACTGGTAATGATCTGTTTGACGTATGAAAGCAACTGAGCTCAGTTTAAATATCTTCCTATTCTTGAATTTAGTAGGTTTAGATTGTTTTTACATTTGGGGAATTGTCTGAAAACGGAGAAAATATATTGTGAGTCTTAGAGACAAAAATCAGGTAAAATATGACAAAAATTGTGTTAATTTCACTGAATTTTGTGTTGTAGGGCCCAAAATCAACTTGGTCATTTTTTTTTTAAAAAGAGCGTCAAGTTAAACCTGTCTGTTACTTATAAGATTCATTTCAACAGGACTTCAATGATTTACCCAAATAAAAGAGGCAGAAAAAGCAACCAAAAGAAGATGCACTAATGCAACTAAGCATTTTTAGATTATTTCATGATCTAAAAATACTAAATGTCCTCTCACGAGACCACCCAGCTTGCCGCACATATTCCCTCCCCCACGTCTATTTCTACTTGTATAGGCGATGGCCTTTCATGATCGAATATGGCTCTCCACAAGCTTGTTTTTTTTTCTCTCACCATTAACCATCCCTCTTTGTTCTTGTTTCCCTCCACCCCTAGAGTGTTGCCGATGGAACGATGACACGGAACTTAAATCTTATTTACTTAACATTTTACCCACACTAATATTTCATCAGTAACCCTCGGCCAGTCTATGGTATTCGGGCGGCCTCGAAACGCGAGGTTTCCTATACGTGGACCGTACATTCTGTCTGCGATGTGTGAGAGACTGACCGTAAAACTCCTACGGCGGTTGTTTAAATAACCGCGTATATCAAAAAGCTTTCCCACGCCTGCAAACCGGATGCAGGTGTGAGGGCATGCGCTTCGGCATTCGGTCGCCGGGTGTGATTCCAGGTCACACCTGGTTGATCCCAGATCATCCCGGTCACCATGATACACCCACGGGGCCGAATCACCCACATTTCTTCCATATTCCATTTGTAAGGAGGAAGTTCCGCTCAGACAATTTTTTACCCCAAGAAATGCTCTCGCGTGGATGCTTCCCTGAACACGACAATCTAAACTTCTTTATGACAATGAACAATCACTATCTACTCTCCTTATCCTCATAAGCAATATACGTAATTATATAGTCATCTGAACACTTCAATCATAACCTCTTCAATTCAAGGGTCAATCTCTGTCAATATTCATTATCTTTATAAGCCATGCATATCATTATATAGTTCGCTGAAACTTCAAACTTAATTTCTTCAAGTCAATGGACACTATCTATCCTCCTTACCCTCATAATCTCAATTTCCTTGTACATCCTTTTACATTTTAATCTTCCTAACACATACGTCATTCAGTATACCTCTACCATGAGTGACTCTTGAGCCTTGGAAAAAGTGAACTTCAGGATAAAAAAGATTATTCGCAGTTTTCATCTTCTTCTCTTCCCTTCAATTTGTCCTATGAGTAGGACATATTGAAGGTAGGGTTCGAACCGGCACCCCCTGAGCAGTGAGAACTGTCGTTAGATCCAACTTATTCTAGCCAGATCAATTGAGCTACGGAAATCTGAATAATTTGAATATAAATAATTTAAACGAAATTCCCTTCGTCATAGACTTCTGGAAAATTTATATATTTTCTTAGTTTCGTATCCAAACGGCGTTTTCGTATCCGATGGAGTCTGATATGAAACTTTTTTTTTTTAACTTTACTGTTTTGTTTAAGAGTTTTTGCAGTTTATTTTTTGTGGTTGCCATCAACGGCAGCTTGTCTTAAAAAAATAAAAGAATATGAAGCTAGTCTTTTTCTGTAAATTTGCTGGCATTCGTTTCTATCGTCAATTAAAAAAAAAGTTGTCCATTGTATCTTTAATCTGATATTGCCTCTCCCACTATTCGTCTACATTCCTTGATTTTGGTCCAACCTAAAAAGTATTAACAATTTTACTACCGTTTGTCTGATATTGATTTAAAAAGACAATATATGTAGCGTTAATCTTCCGATAAAACAAAATTCTTATCATCATTTTTTTCTTTATAAGCTCATTGCAAAAAGACCGCCTCTTCAAGTGGTAAACCGTCTCTCTCTATGGCCTGACCAACCCAAGAACTACTTTCTGGAACACTTCACTTATAGATATTTGGGTTTTTTTTCTTGCTTTCTATTTTAAACCTTGTGTGTGTTCTCCCCTCGTCTCTCTATGTCCTTTGTCAAATAAATACGTAAATGATGAATATAATAGTATAGTTTGTCAGTTGTGCTTGCCTTACTAAATTCCTAAACGTTGACTGATAAATTAATTTTATATTGCATTTCTGTAGTAGATCATTTGAATATATTTCAATAGGAAACGTTTAGAAAACCATCTACAACACACTATCTAGTAAAAATCTTTTAAATGGTACCTAGATTTTATGAATTTAAACGCAGTACTAGATTGGCGGCAAGGTCTCATCCATTTACATTTGAATTGTCTAGATGTAACCGTAGGTTCTATGTTAATAGTTTCTTTTTTTACACTTCTCGCTTGTGGAACTCTCTATTGTTTCCAGCCAACTTTGATCTCCAAAAATTAAAATGCAATGTCAATCGTTATCTAGTGTCTTCCTGATTACTTTTCTGTTGTTCTCGCTCCTTAATAATGTTCCTGTTTTTACTTTCACACTCAATAACCCCTTGTGTCTTAAGGGACTTACTACCTTGCTTGGGGTGATATGGTTAAAAAATGTCTCTCTAGCAAATTAATTTCTTTCTTTCTGTTTTAAGGCTTGTCTTTATTATCTGTCTAACTGTCAGCTTATACCCGAGATTTACCTTAACACCCCCACCCCACTGAGTCAGGGTGTGACACAAGGTTGGTTTTTAACGTAGGGACCCGAATGTTTCCACTCGGGACGCTGGTCGAAGCTGGTCTTAGCGTGTTTAAGCTGGTCATAGCTTGTCTAAGCTGGTCATAGCTGGTTGTTGGGGCGCACCCACCTTCTGACTGATAATGGACTTATCCTTCTACGATATAAGTCAGTGCTAGAGAGAGTAGGGGTGTTGTGTGAAGGATCAGGTTCAGCGACAGCAGTCGAGATCAGGTTACCATTACATACCGTTGGACTGTAGACTTTTGCTATTGTTACTTACTAACCGGCGTTTCTTATTACTAATCACTCTGTTGTTAATTACCTCTTACAAATATACCAGTATTTATCCCTACAACTGTGTTTGTCTTTATTCAAATACACACACGCGGGAACACTCCCAACAACTCAACACTGGTCTAAACTGGTCATAGCTTGTCTTAGCTGGTCATAGTCGTTCATACCACTGATACGTAACAGATCTTATGCAACGGTGGGGGGGTGGGCAAGAGAGAAGAGAAGGCCTCCGGCATGGAACAGATACTACAACCGAAACATCTACGCCGACGGGAAAATAACCCTTCTTCTCTGCCAATTCACCCGAAAAAATCCAGAAGAAAATAGGCGGATTTATATTTATCCAGAAGGTTTTTGCACGAAAATGAATAGAACAAACCCGACTGGAATTGGAACTTGGCTGTCCGATTTCCAATTCCAAGTTGTTATCCATTACAGTACCCGTACAACCAAGATTACAGCACTTGATATTCTTTTGTAATGCTAACGAACACCCGTTGCCACTTTTGTAATGCCAACGAATACTCGTTGTCACTTTCGTAATGTTCGTTGTAGTAGAGACATTGTAATCGCAGATACAACTATAGTAACGCCGTTGAACAATACTGGTGTCAGACGCCTTTGAATAACACTCCCACTAATAGTACTTACTCGATAATACTCACTCGACAAGTAACCCGTATAGTGATCCGAATAGAGAAATAGTATAGTGAATAGAGTAGAGAATAGCGATCCGTATATTAATAGAGGATAGTGTAGAAATGGCGATCGTTAGCTGTCAGCTACTTCATACAGATATGCGTTTCCTCTATGATCACGTAATCCACTTAATTTAATAATGGGATCGCCTGTGTTTGCTCACTGGCGATCTATGTTCAAACTCAAGTGTCGGCAGTGACACTTTATTCCTATATAAAAATTGTATTCAAAATATTTAGATTTTGACATTAAATAACCTATACAGGTTGATATGTTGCTAAACAAAATCAAACTACCAACCTTCTGCAGGAGTTCCATATATACGTTTCCACTATGGTCATGTAGTCTACTTAATTCAATAATGGGATTGCCTGTGTTTGCTCACTGGCGATCTATGTTCAAACTCAAGTATCGGCAGTGACACTTTATTCCTGTATGGCATATTTCGAAGCGGTCACTCATTTAGGTACTTGAATTGTTGGCCAATTAATTGATTAATTTGATTTTTACGGCTTATCAACCTTTTGCAGATTATTTAAAGCCAGAAAATATTTTTAGACTGTAAGAATATTTTTGAGATTATGAAGATAGGACTTGCTTAAGAAAGTAATTATTATCTCTAAAATTTTCTCCCTAAGTTATAGATGGATGGGGGAGAAGGGGGTGATCTTACCTTTCCCAAGAGTATTTGTGCTTAAGTGAATATAATGAACCTGACTGGTATCAGAACTCGGCTCTCCGATTTGCAATTCTAAGCCGTTATCCATTGCACCACCCGCACATCCAAACTTACTGCACCTGGTATTCCCAAGCGGTCACCCATCTAGGTACTAACCAGCCTTGACGTTGCTTAACAAGGCCAATCAAGGAGGACAAAGATAGGAAGACTGTGTTGAGCCACCAGCTCAACATATGGGTGACAGACTGCACCCCCCCACCCCCGTTGCAAGAATTAACGTTTGAAGTTGTGGCTTTTTTGGTATATTTCTAAACATCGACCAAAGACAATGCTGCCAAAAAGTGTAACTCTCTCAAAGATGATGCTGGTTCCTAGTGTTCAAGTGTGTTTGTGTGTACGCGTAAGTGTATATGGATATGTCTATGCTACTATGTGTGTGTGTGTGTGTGTGTGTGTGTGTGTGGTGTTTGTGTTTATGTATGTATCTGTGTGTGTGTGTGTGTGTGTGTGTGCGTGTGCCTGGTGCAAAGGAGTCAAATAGTTATACAGGGTGACCCCCCAAAAAACGGGAATTTTTGAAGTGCATATTGCCAGACATGAGCAAGTGGCAATACTGCGAGACAGTGACCTTGAGCAAGTAAACATTTCGCCATTTAGAATTCAATATGAAATTCACAGTATCCCAGCTGAGATGTTGCAGCAGTCAATGAGGAATCTCAACAGCAGATTTCAAGAATGCATTCGTACAGGAGGAGGAGGCCATCTACAGGACATAATTTAAAAAACAAATGAAAAATCCATCATTGTTTCTTAAATGGCATGTTTTAAGGTTTCAATTACTATGAATAAAATATTTTTCTTCCATCACTTTTTGTTTTATTGGATTGTTAAAAAGTTCCCATTTTTTGGCTTACCCTATATTAATGTATACATTTTAGTATATTTTGCTAATGTAATTTGGCGGCCATCTTAAAAAAATAATTTGAAATTAAGCGACAAATTAACAAGTTAATTCCTTCAGCCGATTTTGACGAATCAGACGTGAAGGTCGGGACTTAATTTTCTAAAATAGATTTATAACATAAATAATACTAAAACGGAACAACATATTTCCTTTTATTATCATTATCATTATTTATAGTTTTGCTAGTCGCTTGTCGATGGGAAAAAGGCGTTTGACATTGTCACTTTAAATACATTCCATAATCTTATTAATTCATTAGATTATTACAGGACTTGTTTATCTGTGCTGTAAAGAACAACGAAAACAGAGAAGTTCTTTTTATAATTACATTGTATTTAATAATAGCAAACACCTTACGTTGCTCTGTTGTTACCATATATGGTCTGGTATCCTCGCTGTTCAGATCGAGGTTCTCGACAAAATCCAAAAACGGATATGCAATGTGGTCGGTCCTGACTTGATAGCACGACTGCAGTCACTTTCTCGCAGACGTAATGTGGCTTCCCTCTGTCTTTTATACAAATATTTTCATGGCATCTGCTATTTTCACTGGCGCCCCGACTGCCTGAATTTAAGCGTGCTACTAGGTTGGCATTTCGGTCCCAACCTTTTACTGTAGAAACAGTTAACTGTAACCGCCTCTTCTACTCCAACAGCATCTTCTCTCCTCGGCAGTGGAACTACACCCTCTTACTTGTTTCCATGACAACTATAATCTTCAAAAATTTAAATGTAATGTCAATCGACATCTTCTGATGCTGCAATCCCCGTTTTTCTTTTATCCTTTCCTTAATCCCCTCCTATACCCAGTCTTTTCTCTTACTTTCACTCCCTGTAACCCCTTGCGTACTAGTGGTATTCCCGCCTTGCATACAGTGAATGCTTATAAAAAAAATGTCCTTATTTATGATGTATCTTCTTTATAAGTCGTGTTCCTTAATAACGTAGGCAATCATGGCTCTCCACAATTTCCTATCCTTCGTAGCTCTTAATAAATTTTGTCTTTTTGTTATTTCTTCTAAATCCTGTTCCGCCATGCATTTACTGAAGCTCACTATGTTATGCGTTGTTTTCCTCTGTCCATCTTGCCTGTGAATATCAGATTTTCTAAACCTTCTTTTCTCATAATGTGCCCTAGAAATTTCAACTGTCTCTTTCTGATGTTAACAGATCACGACAGCTATTAGGGATATGTGATTAAATATACTTTAATGTTTAAAAAATATACATTATTATTATTGTTCAGGTAATAAGCATTATAACATAGCACAAATAGCTATATTGTGGAAAAAGGAATTTTCAACAATATACGCATTTTTTATGTATTTATGGATATTTTTTAACTTTTATTAAAAACGACATTCTTCTACATACAGTTAAAGATAATATTATACATTAATTGCTAAATTTTTTAATTAATAATTATTTGTGCTCAGTTGTTGACATTAATAGCTATCTGCTGATGTGTTAAAATTTTGGAATAATGCAATAATAAAAAAAATCATCTGTTGCGATCAGTAAATATAAGTTTCCTTTTAGTTTCCATTTTCTCTAAAAATTCGTCGTTGCTCACTGTCTTTTTTTGTTAATTCTTATATTATGTTTTTATTGCATGCGTACAAGTGTATAATAAATGCTTTTTGCTGTGTGTGTGTGTGTGTGTGTGTGTTTGAGGGGGTTTACATATCACATTCGTATTCATATCTATCTATCTATCTATCTATCTATCTATCTATCTATCTATCTATCTATCTATCGACAGATATCTTGATGAAGATCTCGTCACTGACATGCCATGTTGCTTGACATAGAGTAGTGTTTCTGAGAGACCACTTGGAAAAAGAAGCGTTACTATCTTTCTGCAACAGGAGCACGTCAGCTGTTACACGAATCGTAAAAAGTAATACACGCATGTACGGTTTTACAAACAGCCACTTACACACGCGTGCGCGGACACACACACACACACACACACACACACACACACACACACACACACACACACACACACACACACACACACATATACATTTATCACAGTTTGTTCATATCTGTTTATCCCAGTGTGTTCCTCTCTATTCTACTCTGTTCATATCTATTTGTGTTTAGTTTTTAACAGGTTTTCTCGTATGTGTACAAATGTATAATAACAGCTTCTATCACTTTTTAAAATGCTTTTTGCAATGTGGGTACATATCACATTCACATTCTGACCAAGAGACCCGGGTTCGAATCTCACCATGGTCGATTTGTCAGGAAGGAGACTTCCTGATGCTATTGTGCCTGGAAAGTGCCTGAAAACCATACCACAGGTTGACCCAAGACTTCTGATTGAAATTGAGTTGACGGATCCACCGATAGCTGTGCTAGCACGAAGTCACAAATCATCGTGGACGAGGGCATGGGCGTGCTGGCTTTGTTCAAATTGTTGATCACGCTAGATAACGCGCTCTTTCCCAGAAACTGTAACTAAGGTCTGCTCAGCATAGTTGCAGTATAAACCACAGGTGGTCTCTGTGGGTGTTGAATAAACACGGCTGCGCCTGAGCAAGCGTCTGCAATAGGGATTGGCTAGCCATCCTAGTAGACGGGTATCCTATGTGGCATCTAAATTCATAAATAATACGATTTAGGAAACCTTATAAAAATGTATCACTCTTGTTGAACAAAGTAAAATATCAAATTATTTACGAGAATAAAATCTAAAGCATTTAACGTATTTAAAAAAAGAAAACCAAAATAACCCCAAGAAACTCGCCCTTAAGACCATTAATAATGCCACGTCGACAATATAAAAACTACACATTGTATATTAGTGTTATGCCATAGTACCTATTCTATTGTAATGGACTCCCATAGATAATAAGTAGGAGTAGCCAAGTCTGGCAGAATAAGTAGGGACGCCTAGTCGAACTCTCTGCGTGGCAAGTCCCGTATGGCAAAATGGCATCTCGCGGTTCCCGTGGGTGAAAAGATAAATACCGAATGGCATCTCGCGGTCTTTGACTGCGGACGCCTCCTGTCGAACTCTCTGCGTTAGCAGAGGGAACCCGGACGAGGCTTTGCCGAGGCTTTGCCGAAGGGGAAGGTTTCGTCCGGGAGGTGGACATATTCCTGAACCCGTCTAATCGGCTTCAAAAGGCTATTTTTTTCGCCGAGCCTACGGCTAATCGGCTTCAAAAGGTTATTTTTTTTGGAAACCCATAAAAAAACGGCCTTGTGCCATTTCTTTCAGTGGGTGAAAAGATAAATACCGAATGGCATCTCGCGGTCTTTGACTGCGGACGCCTCCTGTCTAACTCTCGAACTCTCTGCGTTGCCGAAGGGCAGAGTCCGGGGGGGAACCCTGACGAGGCTTTGCCGAAGGGGAAACCCACAGGCCTTTCGTCTTTTCCGGGGTGAAAAGTAAATACCGGGCATCTCGGGTCCTGAACCCGTCTAATCGGCTTCAAAGGCTATTTTTTGGCCGAATCCTTCAAAGGCTACCGGGCTCGGGCTCGGAAACCCACAAAAAACGGCCTTGTGCCATTTCTTTTCAGTGGGTGAAAAGATAAATACCGAATGGCATCTCGCGGTCTTTGACTGCGGACGCCTCCTGTCGAACTCTCTGCGTAAGCGAGAGAAACCCGGGCGAGGCTTTGCCGAAGGGCAAGGTTTCGTCCGGGGAGGTGGACAGGGCCTGAACCCGTCTAATCGGCTTCAAAAGGCTATTTTTGGCCGAGCCTACGGGCTCGGGGAAACCCACATAAAAACGGCCTTTGTGCCATATTCTTTTCAGTGGGTGAAAAGATAAATACCGAATGGCATCTCGCGGTCTTTGACTGCGGACGCCTCCTGTCTAACTCTCTGCGTTAGCGAGAGGAACCCGACGAGGCTTTGCCGAAGGGCAAAGTTTCGTCCGGGAGGTGGACAGGCCTGAACCCGTCTAATCGGCTTCAAAAGGCTATTTTTTTTTGGCCGAGCCTACGGGCTCGGGGAAACCCACATAAAAACCGGCCTTGTGCCATATTCTTTCCGTGGGTGAAAAGATAAATACCGAATGGCATCTCGCGGTCTTTGACTGCGGACGCCTCCTGTCGAACTCTCTGCGTAAGCGAGGGAACCCGGACGAGGCTTTGCCGAAGGGCAAGGTTTCGTCCGGGGAGGTGGACGGGGCCTGAACCCGTCTAATCGGCTTCAAAAAGGCTATTTTTTGGCCGAGCCTACGGGCTCGGGGAAACCCACAAAAAAAACGGCCTTGTGCCATATTCTTTTCAGTGGGTGAAAAGATAAATACCGAATGGCATCTCGCGGTCTTTGACTGCGGACGCCTCCTGTCGAACTCTCTGCGTAAGCAGAGAGGAACCTGACGAGGCTTTGCCGAAGGGCAAAGTTTCGTCCGGGGAGGTGGACAGGGCCTGAACCCGTCTAATCGGCTTCAAAAGGCTATTTTTTTGGCCGAGCCTACGGGCTCGGGGAAACCCACATAAAAACCGGCCTTGTGCCATATTCTTTTCGTGGGTGAAAAGATAAATACCGAATGGCATCTCGCGGTCTTTGACTGCGGACGCCTCCTGTCGAACTCTCTGCGTTAGCAGAGGAACCAGACGAGGCTTTGCCGAAGGGCAAAGTTTCGTCCGGGAGGTAGATAGGGCCTGAACCCGTCTAATCGGCTTCAAAAAGGCTATTTTTTTTTTGGCTGAGCCTACGGGCTCGGGGAAACCCACATAAAACCGGCCTTGTGCCATATTCTTTTCCGTGGGTGAAAAGATAAATACCGAATGGCATCTCGCGGTCTTTGACTGCGGACGCCTCCTGTCGAACTCTCTGCGTTAGCAGAGAGGAACCCAGACGAGGCTTTGCCGAAGGGCAAGGTTTCGTCCGGGAGGTGGACAGGGGCCTGAACCCGTCTAATCGGCTTCAAAGGCTATTTTTTGCGTTAGGCCGAGCCTACGGGCTCGGGGAAACCCACATAAAAAAAATCGGCCTTGTGCCATATTCTTTTCCGTGGGTGAAAAGATAAATACCGAATGGCATCTCGCGGTCTTTGACTGCGGACGCCTCCTGTCTAACTCTCTGCGTAAGTCGAACTTTGCTTTCGTCGGGGAGGTAGACAGGGCCTGGACCCGTCTAATCGGCTTCAAAAGGCTATTTTTTGGCCGAGCCTACGGGCTCAGGGAACCCACATAAAAACCGGCCTTGTGCCATATTCTTTTCCGTGGGTGAAAGATAAATACCGAATGGCATCTCGCGGTCTTTGACTGCGGACGCCTTTCGTCCGTAAGCGAAGAGGGAACCCGACGAGAGGCTTTGCCGAAGGGCCGTCCGGGAACCCTGAACCCCGTCTAATCGGCTTCAAAGGCTATTTTTTTGGCCGAGCCTACGGGCTCGGGGAAACCCACATAAAAACCGGCCTTGTGCCATATTTTTTCCGTGGGTGAAAAGATAAATACCGAATGGCATCTCGCGGTCTTTGACTGCGGACGCCTCCTGTCGAACTCTCTGCGTTAGAAGGAACCTGGACGAGGCTTTGCCGAAGGGCAAAGTTTCGTCCGGGGAGGTGGATAGGGCCTGAACCCGTCTAATCGGCTTCAAAAGGCTATTTTTTGGCCGAGCCTACGGGCTCGGAAACCCACATAAAAAAATCGGCCTTTGTGCCATATTCTTTCCGTGGGTGAAAAGATAAATACCGAATGGCATCTCGCGGTCTTTGACTGCGGACGCCTCCCTGTCGAACTCTCTGCGTTAGCAGAGAGAACCTGGACGAGGCTTTGCCGAAGGCAAAGTTTCGTCCGGGGAGGTAGACAGGGCCTGAACCCGTCTAATCGGCTTCAAAAGGCTATTTTTTTGGCCGAGCCTACGGGCTCGGGGAAACCCACAATAAAACCGGCCTTGTGCCATATTCTTTTCAGTGGGTGAAAAGATAAATACCGAATGGCATCTCGCGGTCTTTGACTGCGGACGCCTCTTGTCGAACTCTGCGTTAGCAGAGAGGAACCTGACGAGGCTTTGCCGAAGGGCAAGGTTTCGTCCGGGGAGGTAGACAGGGCCTGAACCCGTCTAATCGGCTTCAAAAGGCTATTTTTTGGCCGAGCCTACGGGCTCGGAGAAACCCACATAAAACCTGCCTTTGTGCCATATTCTTTTTCCTGTGGGTGAAAAGATAAATACCGAATGGCATCTCGCGGTCTTTGACTGCGGACGCCTCCTGTCGAACTCTCTGCGTTAGCGGAACCTGACGAGCTTTGCCGAAGGGCAAAGTTTCGTCCGGGGAGGTAGACAGGCCTGAATCCGTATAATCGGCTTCAAAAGGCTATTTTTTTTGGCCGAGCCTACGGGCTCGGGAAACCCACATAAAAACCGGCCTTGTGCCATATTCTTTCCGTGGGTGAAAAGATAAATACCGAATGGCATCTCGCGGTCTTTGACTGCGGACGCCTCCTGTCGAACTCTCTGCGTTAGCAGAGGGAACCAGACGAGGCTTTGCCGAAGGGCAAAGTTTCGTCCGGGGAGGTAGACAGGGCCTGAACCCGTTTAATCGGCTTCAAAGGCTATTTTTTTGGCCGAGCCTACAGGCTCGGGGAAAACCCACATAAAACCGGCCTTGTGCCATATTCTTTTCCGTGGGTGAAAAAGATAAATACCGAATGGCATCTCGCGGTCTTTGACTGCGGACGCCTCCTGTCGAACTCTCTGCGTTAGCGAGGAACCTGACGAGGCTTTGCCGAAGGGCAAAGTTTCGTCCGGGAGGTAGACAGGGCCTGAACCCGTATAATCGGCTTCAAAAGGCTATTTTTTGGCCGAGCCTACGGGCTCGGGGAAACCCACATAAAACCGGCCTTGTGCCATATTCTTTTCCGTGGGTGAAAATAAATACCGAATGGCATCTCGCGGTCTTTGACTGCGGACGCCTCTGTCGAACTCTCTGCGTTAGCAGAGGAACCCGACGAGGCTTTGCCGAAGGGCAAGTTTCGTCCGGGAGGTAGACAGGGCCTGAACCCGTTTAATCGGCTTCAAAAGGCTATTTTTTTGGCCGAGCCTACGGGCTCGGGGAAACCCACATAAAACCGGCCTTGTGCCATATTCTTTTCCGTGGGTGAAAAGATAAATACCGAATGGCATCTCGCGGTCTTTGACTGCGCACGCCTCCTGTCGAACTCTCTGCGTTAGCAGAGAGGAACCCGGACGAGGCTTTGCCGAAGGGCAAGGTTTCGTCCGGGGAGGTAGACAGGGCCTGAACCCGTCTAATCGGCTTCAAAGGCTATTTTTTGGCCGAGCCTACGGGCTCAGGGAAACCCACAAAAACCGGCCTTGTGCCATATTCTTTTCCGTGGGTGAAAAGATAAATACCGAATGGCGTCTCGCGGTCTTTGACTGCGGACGCCTCCTGTCGAACTCTGCGTTAGCAGAGGAACCTGACGAGGCTTTGCCGAAGGGCAAGGTTTCGTCCGGGAGGTAGACAGGGCCTGAACCCGTCTAGGCGGGTTCAAAGGCCTGAACCTACGGGCTCGGGGGATACCCATTAAAAAACCGGCCTTGTGCCATATTCGGTCCCCGTGGGTGGAACGATAAATACTGAATGGCGTCTCGCGGTCTTTTGCGGACGCCTCCTGTCCTCTCGTTAGTTAGAGGAACCTACGAAGCTTTGCCGAAGGGCAAGGTTTCGTCCGGGAGGTAGACAGGGCCTGAACCCGTTTAATCGGCTTCAAAAATTTTTTGGCCGAGCCTACCCCACATTCCGGCCTTGTGCCATATTCTTTTCCGTGGGTGAAAAGATAAATACCGAATGGCGTCTCGCGGTCTCTGACTGCGGACGCCTCCTGTCAAACTCTCTGCGTTAGCAGAGAGGAACCCGGACGAGGCTTTGCGAAGGGCAAGGTTTCGTCCGGGGAGGTAGACAGGGCCTGAACCCGTCTAATCGGCTTGAAAAGGCTATTTTTTTGGCCGAGCCTACGGGCTCGGAGAAACCCACAATAAAACCGGCCTTGTGCCATATTCGTTTCCAGTGGGTGAAATGATCAATACCGAATGGCGTCTCGCGGTCTCTGACTGCGCACGCTTCCTGTCGAACTCTCTGCATTAGCAGAGAGGAACCCGGACGAGGCTTTGCCGAAGGGTAAGGTTTCGTCCGGGGAGGTAGACAGGGCCTGAACCCGTCTAATCGGCTTCAAAGGCTATTTTTTGGCCGAGCCTACGGGCTCGGAGAAACCCACAATAAAACCGGCCTTGTGCCATATTCGTTTCCCGTGGGTGAAATGATCAATACCGAATGGCGTTTCGCGGTCTTTGACTGCGCACGCCTCCTGTCGAACTCTCTGCGTTAGCGGAGAGGAACCCGGACGAGGCTTTGCCGAAGGGCAAGGTTTCGTCCGGGGAGGTAGACAGGGCCTGAACCCGTCTAATCGGCTTCAAAGGCTATTTTTTGGCCGAGCCTACGGGCTCGGAGAAACCCACAATAAAACCGGCCTTGTGCCATATTCGTTTCCCGTGGGTGAAATGATAAATACCGAATGGTGTTGAGCGCGTCAGTCGAGATTCGGACATTTGAAGTACCAACCATCACAACTAGATTGCTGCGCCATTGACTCTTTTTTTCCAAGTTCCTAACGTTTTGTACGTCGGACCTAATTTAGGACGACTTACTAGAAATACAAGCCTCCACTGTGAAAATACTCCACAACAATTAGATGCCGCATAGGGGACTGTGTTCTCGACCAAAACAAACTTATAAATCTCGGGTAATCTACCTCAAGCCTATCAATCTGGATGACGCTACATCTCCCCGACCATAGCTCAATACGGACGCATTTAAACCAGCACAGGATTGTAAAAACCTCAACACGCGAGATTTAGGAACATTTGCCTAAAGAATATTGGTCTAAGGGAAACCTGTTTAAGGACATTTATCTAAGGAATACTCGTCTAAGGATTCGTCTGTGAAATATCCGCCTAATAACTATTGGGCTATAATATTTTTTATTCCTCTACAAAATACACAATTTTATTGATATTCCCTATAGTACAGAATAATATTTAAGACACAAAATTAATTACTGATGATACACGTGGTTTATAAGCATTTATTGGCATGCTTTGTTTGTATATTAATATAACCCAAATTAGACCATAATTCTCTAGTCGAATATTCCTTAGACGTATTGTTTAGACCAATATTCTTAGACCGATATTTCTTTGGCCATTATTCCTTAGACCAGTGTTCCTTAGACCAATGTTCCTTAGACGAATATTTGGGTCTCCAATTCACAACATATTCCTTGAGAACACGAATGTAATTCTTTGATACGTCCCACTTCTAAAAGTGATGTAAGCCCTTTTACGTACACAAGAAAAAAATTAAACAAGAGTACCTTGTTCAATGAAATATGTATTAAAGAGGGATCTATCTATCTATCTATCTATCTATCTATCTATCTATCTCAGTCTGTTCATATCTAACTCGCTCTTTTCCTATCTATACCACTCTCTTAATATCTATAGTAGTCTCTTCATATCTATCTATCTATCTATCTATCTATCTATCTATCTATCTATCTATCTATCTATCTATTTTTCAGTCTGTTCATATCTATCTATCTATCTATCTATCTATCTATCTATCTATCTATCTATCTATCTCAGTCTGTTCATATCTAACTCTTTTCCTATCTATACCACTCTCTTAATATCTATAGTAGTCTCTTCATATCTATCTATCTATCTATCTATCTATCTATCTATCTATCTATCTATCTATCTATCTATTTCAGTCTGTTCATATCTATCTATCTATCTATCTATCTATCTATCTATCTATCTATCTATCTATCTATCTCAGTTTGTTCATATCTAACTCTTTTCCTATCTATACCACTCTCTTAATATCTATAGTAGTTGTTCATATCTATCTATCTATCTTTCTATCCTATCTATCTATCTATCTATCCAGTTTGTTCATATCTAACTATCTATATCTATATCTATAGTAGTCTCTTCATATCTATCTATCTATCTATCTATCTATCTATCTATCTATCTATCTATCTATCTATCTATGGAGAGAGAGAGAGAGAGAGAGAGAGAGAGAGAGAGAGAGAGAAAGGAAGGGAAGCAGGTGGAGAGAGAAAGTGAGAGAAATAGACATATTGAGAGAAAGATGACTTACCGAATAAATACGTTTTACATTGACATACCGAGAATCATCGCAAAAGGAGAAAAGCATTTAGCTACCATTTCTTTTTTTTTCAATTTTACTGTCCGTGATAAAATTTACACATGTATTGGTACATTTCTGGAGAGCACATGTTTCTTAGAAACCCCACCCCATCTCTAAACATCCTGTCATTATGATGCCTGTCCAAGAAAATTGGCTGTTATGTTGCTATTTGAAAAATTCTTCACATGGAAATATTTCTTTTTATTCCATATCATATTTTATCAGGAAACGAAAGAAAAATTCTCCGTACATGATGTATTCGTTTCTTTCTTTCTTTCTTTCTTTCTTTTCCATTCTTTCTATTTTAAGCCCTGTCTTCGTGTTTTCGTTTTCTTTCTTTCTTTCTTTCTTTCTTTCTTTCTTTCTTTCTTTCTTTCTTTCTTTCTTTCTATTTTAAGCCCTGTCTACGTGTTTTCGTTTTCTTTCTTTCTTTCTTTCTTTCTTTCTTTCTTTCTTTCTTTCTTTCTTTCTTTCTTTCTGTCATATTTGACTTTCTGTCAGTTTTGACTTTGTTTCTTCTTTCTTAAATTCTTTCTTTCTTTCTTTTCCACTTGTCGAATTTTACAATCTTTCTTTTTCAGTTACTATCTTTTTGATATTTTTCGTTTGTTTATATATTTTCGCTTTCTTTCTTTCTTTCTTTCTTTCTTTCTTTCTTTCTTTCTTTCTTTCTTTCTTTGTTCACTCTCATCGCATTTTATCTTCTTATGATATTGTTCAAGGTTGTTTTTTGTTATTTTTTCTCTCGTTTTACCTCGAATTCTTCTTTCCTCTTTTTCTCTTTCTTTCTTATCGGCTTTCATCGTTCTATTTGTAACTTTCTTTTTTCTTCTATCCTCAAAGACATATATTCTTTCTTTCTTCTGTCCTCAAAGACATTTCTTTCTTTCTTTTTTCAAATACATTTCTTTCTCTCTTTCTTTCTTTTTTTTTCTTTCTTTCTTTCTAAAAAACAACCGTTTCTTTTTTTTTATTCATTCATTTTTTCCCTTTTTTTTTATCCGCCTTCGTTTACTAAACAAAACTTTTATTCCTATTTTCCTTAGATTTGAGAATGACATCAAAATGCAAGTTATTTATGGTGGTGCAAAGAATATATAAACCTGTCTCTAGAGACAATCTTTAATGCAACAATATATTCAAACTTGGGAGATTCTTAGATATTTGGAATTTTAAAACCACATATATATTCTATAATCTTAAAAAACGGAAGATAAATATGCACCCCCCCCAAAAAAAAAACTGAGAGAAGGACGCATGTTTTTATGAGACAAAGCGAAAAGCGGTAGCAGTTGAGATTCCAACATTCCCAAAACAATGCATTTTTTTCTTTTAGAACCTACAGTAGAACGTGAAGAATTCCATGGTGTTGTTATTTCAGGAATCGAGCCCAAGTAAAAAAAAAAAGATGAAAATTTTTAGGGATCTACAAACCAGATTCGTTTCGCAATTTCCTTCTTCTTCTTCTTCTTCTTCTTCTTCTTCTTCTTCTTCTTCTTCTTCTATGTGCCGCATCCCTTCAGGACATAAGCGATAATGGCTCTCCTCAACTCGTGTCATTCTTAGCAGTTTCCCCCCCACCCCCTTTGGTAAGCCCCCCGTCTCTCATTCAGTCATCCATTCCCACAAGCTAGTCAGGTACGTGGTTCGCTATTTGTTCTATATCTCTTTACCATCAATATGCCCCGTGAGGGTTAAGTTTTCCAAGCCGTCCATCCTAATTACGTGTCCAAGGAATTTCAGCTCTTTCTTTTCCTGATTCTGGATATAAGTGGATATTTCCGTTGCCGTTTTCTTTAAGACTTCATCGTTGCTTACTCACTTTCTCCACCGAATTCTCAATATCCTTCTGTAGAGCCGCATTTGTGTTGCCTCCAGTTTTCTCCCCATCCGTGGGAAGAATGTCCATCATTCAACGCCATGTAAGTGGATGAATATCACGTAGCCGTCCAGCGCTCTTTTCTTTGTTTCTAACGAAATTTACCCGTTTCTCAGCACCTTGCTTGGCTTTTGGAATGCCTCGTTCGCCGCTAGTCCAATGCGTACTTCGGATTTCGGAGTCACTTTTTTCTATGCCCTGTTAAAACGCTTTCGCAGATATTAGAACTTCTGCATTTGCTTGTTATTCATATCTACGATTCGTAACTCGCGTCTCGGATTTTTAATTGATGGCGGTTTCCTTCCTAATCTTTTACTTGAAATAAATCATCTCCTTCATCATCTCCTTCGATAACATTCTCCTTAGGAATGTATATAGTTGTTTCACAAAGAGTATTACTTAAAAATGCAACAGAGACATTCGGTATTACATTCGCAAATTCCTTTGAAATTTTGGGCAGCACTGACTATCTTTCTTTCTCTCTCTCTCTCTCTCTCTCTCTATATATATATATATATATATATATATATATATATATATATATAGTCAAACTTAGTGAGCGAGACAAACCTGCCCAGGTTTCACCTAAGCGGATCGTCAGGAAAAGCCAGCTTTCCCTGACGATCCGCTTAGGTGAAACCTGGGTAGTTTATCTGGCTCACTAGGTTTGACTAGGTCTGCTCTACAGTTGTATTGAGCTCTTTTAGTTAGTTAGTTGTTTACTCGTGTCGGGTTTTTTTTTCTTGGCTTTAAACCTGTATCTGTGCGATTTTTTCGACAGACTTTCATGTTCCTGGCTCTTTCTTTTTTTAAAACCTTTTTTAACTTCGTGATTGATTTGATTATTGGCAAATCAAAAATTCGAAGGTTTTTCGAGACGAGTATAATTACCTATATATATATATATATATATATATATATATTTTTTTTTCCCGCCAATTTTCGTTTAGCAGGACTTATCTGTTTAAACTGGTTGTTATTATTTTCACTGTTTAAAGAAAAATAAAATGACGGATGATGTAAAAAGAAGTTGAAAATGAAACAAATAAAATGAAACAAGCCTTATAACAAAAATATTTCTTTAGAGTGACATTTTTACCGGTTTCACTATTCAATAATTTTTAAAAAGTTAAATTAAGTTGAAAAGACGTGTGGCTCTGCCATGACATGTCTCGAATCTCCTCAATTTAACTTTTGAATTCATAGAACTGTGAAACCGGTATACGTACTCTAAATAAATATTCTTAAAGACTCCATTTGCATTTCCAACTTCTATTTCTAGTTTACCTGTGATATATATATATATATATATATATATATATATATATATATATATATATGTATTCCATTTTTACAAAACACAAATATATATATATATATATATATATATATATATATATATGTATTTAAAAGGTAATGCAATATAAAATTTTTTTTTCAAGGTAATGCATTTTATTTGCCAATACGACAAATTTTTATCACTTCAAACGTTATTTTTAGTGGCTAATCATATTTGAGCAGACGCTCCATTTATTTATTAAGCTGTATATTTATTTATTTTCGTCTACCGGCCTGAATATTTGAGAAATCTTCTTAAAGAAAAATATGCGAAGAGTGCATATTTTTCTTTAATAAGATTCCGAGAATAATCAGGCCGGTAGACAGAAATGAATAAATAAATATACAGTTTAATAAATAAATAGATCCTCTACTATGAGCAGGCACTAAAAACGTTTAAAGTGATATATATATATATATATATATATATATATATATATATATATATATATATATATGCACACACGCACAAACACACATATATATATATCGGTAAAAACTTTTAACATTTTCGATAATCTATACAGCCGATAATACATCCTAATTATATTAATAAGAAATAAGATTTGTACTTTCCAAAATTTCGCAAGTCTTTTGTAACGAAATAAATGGTGAAATTAAACCAGCAATTCCGGAAAGTGACATAAAAAAATGATATAAATAAAAAATAGAAATGAAGTAAAGTATGCAACTATAAATTCGCCATTTTTTATATTTCTAAAAAACGCAAATTACTCCCATATTAAAACAGCGGTGTTGTAGCGTAAGTGTTTTGCAATTTTACATAAATAAAATAAGAAAAAAAATGAAACATTTTCCTAAAAATTTACACTACGAATTGACCGAAAATGAAAAAAAAATCATTAAACGAAAATAGATCAATAAAAAAAAGAATAACACTAAACATCCTGCATCTTGCATCAATTAATTCCTATTTAGCCTTTTCAGCTACGACATTTGTTTTTCGCTAAGGTGTAATGGCCAATAGTTGAACAACGGAAAAAATAAACTAAATCGCTTTGCTGGAAAGCATCTATTAGTGATAGCAGTGTACCGACAAGACTCAAATTTCAAGAGGCTGGATGTTATATAATCAAAACTATATAAATTTGCCAGTTTTATTAACTTTTCGAAAAAAAATAAATAATCAAAAACAAAACAACAACAGCACTGCCATCTACACTCTTCAAAGATTTAAATGCAACATTAATCGCCATCTTCTGTGTTCTTGTCGCTTTCAGTGACTTTACCACCGCCGTCACGTAGCTACCTTCTATTTTTTCTCTATATATTTTCATGGCAATTGTTCTGTACCTAAACCACGTGAATTTAAGCATAGTACTATATTGGCAACTACGTTTTATCGTTCTACTGTTAAAAAAAGAAGAAGCTAGATTCAACCGTTAGTTCTGTTCTAATAATTTCTTTTCTCACCTGTGGAACTCTCTAACGGTTTCTTTTTCCATTGTCACCTATGATTTTCAAAAATTAACATCTATTGCCAATTTTCTCTTCTTCCTGAATTCCTTTCGGGAATTTGCGCAGCGCACGCCTCGCGAATGTAGTACCGAATGTCTCTGTTGCATTTTTAAGTAATACTCTTTGTGAAACAACTATATACATTCCTAAGGAGAATGTTATCGAAGGAGATGATGAAGGAGATGATTTATTTCAAGTAAAAGTTTAGAAAGGAAACCGCCATCAATTAAAAATCCGAGATGCGAGTTACGAATTGGAGATATGAATAACAAGCAAATGCAGACGTTCTAATATCTGCGAATGCGTTTTAACAGGGGATAGAAAAAGTGACTCCGAAATCCGAACAAGCATTGGACTAGCGAACAAGACATTCCAGAAGTTTTGGGTGAAATGATTAAAAACAGACAAAAAAAAAAAAAAAAAAAAAACGGTGCGTATATCAAAAAAGGTTGTATGTTTGTTTGTTTGTTTGTTTATCTATTCTATCTATCTATCTATCTATCTATCTATCTATCTATCTATCTATCTATCTATCTGTTCACATTGATTTTGTTCCTGCATGGATAATGTATGTATATCCGTATATATACGTATCAATCACACAGACACGTATACACATACACGTGTGTGTGTGTATATCAGTCTGTTTATCTATGTGTATACTCATATGTCAACCTGTTTACATCGAATCTGTTTGTTCCTGGGTTATACATGTATATGTGCACATATCATTCATGTACAGACACTTACACCCACACAAGTGTGTGTGTGTGTGTGCATGTGTGTGCGTGTGTGTATGTAAATCTGTTTCTATCTATCTGTCTATCTATCTATTTGTAATTATCGATAGCTCTCCATCACTACCTAAGTATTTATATTTTTAGTTATGTCTATTTTTCCTGAACATACAAGCATGCAGACATACACACACACAGAGAGACTCCCCATATATATATATATATATATATAAATTTATTCCTTTGCTCTACTTAGCGTATGGGGCAGTTTTCGCCAT